CATAAGTTTTTTAATAATATATTTTTAAAGAAAATAAGGGTGCTTCGCCGCCACAGGTAAGACGTCACAAGAGATTATATTGCTCATGGAATTTATTATAGTACATGTAAAGAAAATGTGGTTGTAAAGTGAAACTACGGATTTGTAACTAAAACGTAAAGCAAGTTAGTTTCTATACATGGTAGGCTAATTTAGAGGGGTAAAGTGTAAATTCACACATAATTTAAAAATTATTAAACCATATAAAACTTCGGTGCATATCTTTTTTGTCTTAAATATTCTATGACGAATAAAATTAATTAGCAATACATTTTATTTCAAGAATAAATAAATAAGGCAAATAACAAGATTATTACATGTACAGTATTGTGTAAAAGTCTTAGACCACCTACAACATTACACAACTTTACGTTTTTACCTTTAAAGAAGGTATGCTAGTTTAGGTTTAGTATTTTATCTTACCAATATTATTATACAGTCTACTGTTATATATTATACAAAAATATTATAAATTCGACAGGAAATTTAATATTTTGTGTGGCCTCCTTTTATATTGATAACCACCGACACTTCTTGTACATCTTTTATACAATTTTTGGTTCGCAATAACTCAAAGTACGTCTATATTTTTTGACTCTCTTTCTGTTTGAGCTCTGTCTAAATAATCCCAAACGTGTTCAATAATATTTAAATCATGACTTTGAGGTGGGCAATTTATAACTCGTAATGTTTCATTCTTCTTTAAATTCTTTAAATACTTTTTTATAATTCGGCTGTGTTTGGGTTTATTATGATACTGGAAAAGAAATTGTTTTCCAATTAATCGTTGTTCAGGCGGCACTGCATGTTGCTGCAGGATCCTCAGGTATCGTGCGGCTGTGAATTTTTCATCAACGCGGACCAAATCTTTCAACCAATACACAGAAACACACCCCTAAACTATTACCGATTCTTCGTCATGTTCTACCGTTGGCTTCAAACATGTTTTCTGGTATACTTTTCTTCTACGTCTCTGTACGTATTAACACCTTTTATTACCAAAAATTTCGAACTTTGATTGCTCCGTCCATGAGACCTGTTTTCAATCTTCCACTTGCCAATTCCGACGTTTCCGAGTATATTGAAGTCTTTTTTGTTTGTTTCTTTTCCGAAACAATAGTTTTTCTCGATTGTGGAAGAGCTCGACAAACTATTGAGGCGTCAACCGACACTCCGGTACTTTACTGTAGGTTTTTCGCAAGTTCAATTGAAGATCTTGTCTTAAAAACTTCTCATCAGTTTCCTTCACCTTTCTTGGCCTTCCACGCCATTTCTTGTCCTCGAAAATTTACATTTTCGGGCAATTACTCTTTGATTAAGCCTTCTCAGTGATAAATAATAATGCGATGTCTATCTGTTCTTGATATTTTTGCCATTGTACTTGTTTATATCAAAGCTTATATAACTTTTTCCAATAATATTCTGCCACACACACGTACGCGCGCGCACAAATCACTGGATATTAATAATAATTTAAAGAAATTGTTTGCAATGGAAATCGGAGAAAGATGTTTGTGATTCAAAAATTGAAACAGAAATGAAATACTAGTAACAGAAATGTATCCAGTTAGTATTTGTACCTGAGAAGGATTTGTTGGATTTGAAAAGGAACTTGTAAAAAGCGATAAATCCCTTCCATCGCCATACTTTCCGTTCAATCGGGTATCTCGCAAAGAACAGCAGACGTGTTTCAAGTGCGGGCTATAAGCCCAAAAATCGCCGCTAACTCAAATGTCAAAACCAAGCTAGGAACGAGTTAACAATGATCTCTGACTACAGGAGTCATTCTACAACTAGTGTCCCAAAAGTAATCACTGTAAACGACCAAAGAAATAATAGCTACGTCAGAATTGCTGAACGAAAGCAGTTCTCAAAAAAAGACCGGGGACTGATGTGGAATGTCAAGAAGATTTGAACCTAGCAGACTACACATGTGGTATAAGGAGACTTAGTTCAACCACCGATAAATGTTTTATTTTCATCGTGTATCTCGAACAACCGCGTGTGTTTATTCCTAACTAATAAAGAAATCGTGAATGATCTTTCCGAAATGTTTCAGTACATAAAAATAGGCGAATACAAAGTGGCCATCGGACCATTAATAAGAAAACATCGACGTATAATTCTCTCCAAAGTATCCCTCACCATACCACCGATAAATACATCGAAGATATACTAAACCTATAAATTACTTGAGGCTCGAGCGTAACATTCCTTAGAGCTGCTATTTCAAAGGAAGGCTACAATCGCGTCCTAAGTTTTAAAACATAAGTTTATATACATCCGGATGATCTTACCAAGCTGCCAGGCATCATACAAATCAATTACGGCAACAGTACATACTACATATACCCAACAATAGACATCGTTAAATCTTTCCTATGCAAACAGGAAGGACACATAACCCAAAAGCTGTAAGAATATAGACTCGACAGAAAAATTAAACGAATCCGCAATAAACGTCGATGTGAATAGATGTAATTCTCCCACTGGTACAAAAACTAACTCAAACTC